AGCATGAAACCATCTCTACACTACATAAAGAGCAAAGTGGTGACTGTCACCATTCCTCTCCTGCTCCCTCAGCTACAGACAGGGGAAAAGCCAGGCCTCTAGCAGTTCTCTTGGCAGAGTACCGCAGAGAGCTTAGACAGATTTTGTGCCCCTATTCAATTGGCCAGTCTACACTGCCTCCATGATCTTCCTATGGTTAGTGGGAAAAGCTACTTCTGTTACATCAGGACAAATATGCAAGCAGGCAGACAACAAAATCTGCCTCACCAGCGCACATAGACTTACCAGGGCGCTTCCATTCCTCATCCCAAACCTAGCAGAGTATAAAGAAAGTTGGCTCTGCACACACATTTTCACATCACTATAGAATGGGTCTTTTGTTTCTTTAATGAAACATCCCCCAATGCTCCAGGTGAGTATCCGCCACTATTTCTCAACCCTATAACCTCTTTCATTATTATATCTCAAGCATACCCCCACATCAAGTTTTTAATTACCTTCTCATTTACCTATTACAAATGCTATTTGTATACTTTAAGTGAGAATTTTACATACTACTACTCATATTCATCTGAAGTTAGTTTTTAACAGTATCCACTCCAATCAGAGTAGTTTTCACATTTTCCTGTACTCAACGTTCCAAAATGCATCCATGTTGAATGTACATGTTTTATGAACAAATAATTCATACTTATGTGTCCTGTTTAGTTAGGAAACTGAAAAGCATCAGAACTCCAGACCCATATTTCATTAAGCATCGTGGTATGAAACACTGCTTGAAGATTTGCTGTCTGGGGCCTGTCAGCTCGGTGGTTAAGATCACTTGTTCTAACAGCAGATCCAGGCTCGGTTCCCAGCACCCACATGAGGGCTAACAGCTGTCTGTAACTCCAGTTCCAGAGAAGCTGACACTCTCTTCTGGCCTCTGTGGGGGGGTACTGCATGTTTGTGGTGCACAGACATACATGCAGGCAAAGCACCTATACACACAAAGAGAAATACTATTTGCAGCTGGGGACAGTGGCACATACCTGTAATTCCAGCACTCGGGAAGGCAGAGGCAGGTGGATCTCTGTGAGTCTGAGGCCAGCCTGCTCTGCAAATCGAGTCCAGGACAGCCAAGGCCACACAGAGAAACCCTGTCATTAAAAAAAAAATCAAAAACAAAAAAAATGCAAATTTTATTAAAGTACGCTTAATGTTTTAAAAATATTAAATATCTAAAAAATGACTTGTGAGTTTTAAAAAGTAGCTGTTTTTACAATGTTTTTAAGAATAGCATTGTTTTGCAATATTTTTATGTTCCTGAACAAAGACATAAAAGATGTTTTCAAACTGTGATTAACAAACATGTCTCTACAATTACAATAACTGTGTAGGTTTAAATGTCTGGTCTTCTAAAGGAATGAAGAGTACAGTCAACCATAATCATTAATATACTTTTTCTCCACATTTTGACATTTAAAAGAACTCATTGCTGCATGCTTTTCGGCTGAATGAATACAGTGGCTATGGTGAAGAGGAGTTAGTTACAGGCAGACTTAGCATGTATTCTGGTTGGCCTAACCATAGGCCTACATCCCATAATACAAAGTTGGCCTGTAAAGACTGGTCTTGGATTCTATTTTTGCATTGGTTTGGGCCATTATTGACCGGAAGCAAATAAAGATGTGTATGTTCCTAGCAGGAAGGGAATCTCATAGTGACCTTCATAGTCCCATCTCTTCATCCCCTATCAGAAATCATTTTTGTGATCCTCATCGTGTCTTGAAGTTTCCCCAACACACGTTATTCACTCATTTTAAATATTCTTATTTATCAAACCCTCATCACATCGAATGACTTGAGTATGAGAGTCTCATCTCTTTTCTGACTCAATTCTGCCTCTTTCATAACCCAGAGCTATGAATGACAATGTAAAACTGTGTATAATGGTTATAAACTTGGTTGGCTGGGAATCGGCTCATGTTAAAGACCTATGTGATTGCGTCAGGGACTCCCTCATGAGACAGTCACTAATATCCATACATACACAGTCAATTGCACATTCCAGGTTCAAGAGAACGTGAAGGCAAAATATTTATTTTCTTATTGAATTAACAAGCAGAAGTTGAAACCACTAATAACCCACTAACACGCCTTTGAAATCCTCAAAGTTTACAAACCACCAGAAAACACATGCAAAATTATACACACATACAAAAGTTGTCCTGAATGACTTAAGTGTTTATTTTCTAATCCTATCCCAATGAGTAAGTTACAGAATAATAAACACACTCTCCTCCTCTGCTGTCTTGAGTGCTCTCTCTCCCTCCCTCCCTGTGTGTGTATGCACACACACACATGCTTGCATGCTCGCTCACCTGTGTGTGAGGGAGAGGATGAGTCAGGTTTAGAACCTAAGAAAGTGTAAGAATTGGCAAGCATACTAATAGACGTTACATAAAGCACCTGGGCTTTAAGTGATTTTTCAGTCCTATCCTCTATAAATGGAAACAGAGTCATTAGCTTGCCTCCAGTCCAGGGTAGAGGCTGGTATCCAGAGCAGGGCTATTTATTACCCAGCAAGGAGACACGTATCTAAAAGCATCCATCTCAAAACTGCTTGAGTCTAAGAATTTATAGGCAACAGGAATATAAACAGATGAACACAATAGCACTCTTTTATGGGAACATTGTGTGATGAGCCAAGATGTGTCAGCTGATACCCCTGGTGCTTAGGAAGCTGTGAGCACTTGTGGCTGCTGCCTAATAGCACTGGCCAGGGAAGGAGGCAAGGCCACAGCAGCACAGGGCACAGAGAGTCCAGTACTTCCCTTTTAGTTGACTAGGCCACCATAAAAGAGGGCTACAGATAGGGGAGGTTCCCCTCTCCTTCCTTCTGATCTTAGTCTATCAGATCTCATCAGGAGTGGCTGCACGGACCTCTCCTATCAGTGGACTTGGGAAGGGATATGCGTGAAGAAGGGGGAGGGAGGGTGGGATTAGGAGGGGAGGAGGGAGGGGCTTATGGGGGGATACAAAGTGAATAAAGTGTAATTAATAAAAGCAGTACTGTTAGGCCACAGAGGAGGACTTTGCAGCCAGTCCTGAAAATACCTGACAAAACGTAGTCATATGAAAGGGGAGGAGGTCCTCCCCTATCAGTGGACTTGGAAAGGGGCAGGGAGGAGATGAGGGAGGGAGGGTGGGACTGGGGAGGGAATGAGGGATACAGCTGGGATACAGAATTAACAAAATGTAACTAATGAGAAAAATAAAACTTAAAAAATATTTTTTTAAAAAAAGCAAATAAACATCCTCTAAGAAAGAAAAAAAAGGGGGGGGGAGGTGGCTACAAAGAACATGCAATATGGCTCCAGGGAATATTCCTCACAAAAGACAATGTGTTTCTGGGTTCTCATTTAATGAAATTCCTCCAACTCTACCATGACCCAAACCAGTGAGTTTGGTCTACAGGATCTAGTTAGAGTTAGAGTTCTACAGGATGGTGTTTTTTCCAAAGAAAGAAATTTATTCACGTAACGCATCACCATAGTCACACCCTCGACTCCAAAACTAGCTACTCTGAGTATCAGTCTCTCCTTCCACATCCTCTCCTCTTTCTCCCCACCCCCATTTCTTCCCCATTATAGACAGCCTACAGTCTCTGAAGTAAAACACCATAAGCCCTAAGTCCACACCACAGAAGACAAAGTACAGGGACCCAATGCAGGGCACTCATGTAAGACCAGGGAGCTAACCTTCTTCTCCAGACTAAAGATGCAATTTTCTTCCCACTTCCTCCTTTCTCACCCCTTTCCACTCCACTGTCCACCTTGAACCCACTCTGCCCACCCTCTCCCCAGACTGCAACCTGACTGAAAGCCACAGCGCTGAACAGAACAAATGACACTAGTTATAATGGAGGCCATGCCCTACCGCTTTCCAGAAAAGAGCTCTGTAACCAATGGCTACGGCATATTTTCTTCCCAGAGAGAGGGCGAAACAGAAAAATCAATGTAAATTTCCCATGTGAGTCCATACCCTGCCCCAGACTGCCAGTATGCCTGTATTATTTAAAAAAAAAAAAAAAAAAATGCCAATCAACTCAGCCTGATGCTTAACCCAAAGGAGTAATGTGAATAAGAAAAAACAAAACAAAACAAAGAAGCAAACAAAAACGCAATCAATTGATGAGGAATATTTTCCCCAAAACTATACCACTCTCTGCAAAAGCATCACTCCCATCAGCTGGTGCTCATCTGCTTCTTGTTGATAGCATTCAGTAGAGTCCATGTTGTGTGCTATACTTTCATTGTCCCAGAAGACAGAGGCATCTGCAGAGTCAATCTTTATACACTAGAAAAAGCTGAATCTCAAATAAACCAAGTCAGCACCATGGAGAATGTATGACATTTTATGGCACCTAGTCACACTGCCTGTCACCCTTGACCACCTCACTCTTGAAAGTGTCACTGAATCCCAGGGGGCATAAAGACCCACCATTGAAGAAAACATCATTTTATCAGAAACCAAACAGTGTCTTGAAGAAGCACCATGTTTCTAGATTCTAAGCATGTGCTATGCTAGACAGTTCTGCACAGAATTATGTATCGTGATATACATGCCCACACTTGTGTATCAGCTCAACCACCTTCTTTTTTATTTTTTATTTTAATATTGCTGATCAAATGAATAGGATGGTCTGGTAACTTTCATGAAGGACAACTAGCAAAGTCAGAAAACTTCCATTTTTAAAACTCAGCCAGTCCCTGCATCAATGTAGTCATCTCTCTGGAAAAAAATAATTGTCATTTCCTTTTATTTAGATAGTTACTGTTTGTAGAGACTTCTAGAAGAACTAAAAGGGAGACTTGAAGAAAGAAAGCCTCTCGGGAAAAAAGATGCAAGGGACATCACATCTCACATTTAGATGAGACAGTACTCATCTACCCTGGTGCTCGCTCGCCAAGGCCCAAGGAGCCCGCTGAAGTGGCCGTGGGTGGCTGGGCCCTTACCTTACCACACTGCTTACATTTTCCCTCCTGCCGCCGCCTGTGAACCCAGTGGTGACGCACAAAGTTCTGCGAGAAAACAAAGTGAAATGAGTTAAGTTTTAATTTGCAGTCCTTGGTATTCATTGTTTGACAATTTGGATTGTGGATTTCTATAAGCTATCATCCAAACCCATGACGCACAAAAGCAAGCATGTGTAGGTGTGACTTGTTCAACAATAAACGTGAACACACTCAGAATAAATAGAGTTCATTCTCCACACACAGTGATCCTCTGCACTGTGTGTAGAGGATCCTTACCTCCTCGTCTCTCTAGTGCCCAGGGCACAGCAGATTGCACTCGCTGCACTTTCTTAATGTTAAAAACTATACAGGTTAGTGAATGGGCTAAATGATCTTCAGTTTGGAGGCGACAAAGACTATAAAAGAAAACCCCAAAGAGTGGTGAAATTTTTAAAAGCTGATGGAATAATCTTCAGTACAATTGAACAAATGCACATGTAATGCTTCATTTAAAAGGATCAAATGCTCAGAAACATGTCCTGATATGGGACATTGAGAATCACTAGATAACATGAAAGAAGAGAAACACCAAAGAAAAGAGTTATTAAAGACAAGAGGATTGACATACGGGTAACAGTTGTTTATACGTCATCCTTTTTCACCTTGAACTAGACTAGCTTTCAAGGTTGATTCTTGTCATAAACTATAGGGAAGTCTTTTCCACCCCAAGTAAATGATAATTATTGGGGTCAAGAGATTCCATCTCTTCTGGCTGTCAGAGTTCACTACAAAAGGATGCGTGATCGACAGCATTAAAGATAAAGAGAAGCCTTAGGGCGCTGTATCCTTCTTAAACCAACAATGTGAAGTACTTCCTTTTCTTTGACCCCTGCCCTTTCTTGGGAAACTATACTTTGCCTAAAACTAGCACGACTCTTATAGAATTTAGCCACAAACCATATTCTCCCTTTAACAGAATCCTTAATGTATGTTGTCAACAGATTGCCTATTACATGGTATAGACACTGTTCTAAGTGGAGACAGACAAAGAAGGCAGATCAGCCTAGAAGCACAGTATCTTGGACATATCTAATAGAGATAGGAGAAAATAAGCCAGTGTAGAATGAAGGAAGGAAGGAAGAAGGAAGGAAGGAAGGAAGGAAGGAAGGAAGGAAGGAAGGAAGGAAAGAAGGAAAGAAAGAAGGAAGGAAGGGAGAGAGGAAAGAAAGAAAGATGGAAGAAAAGAAGAAAGGGAGGGAAGGGAAAGGCAAGAAAGGGAAGGGAGAGAGAAGGAGAGAAAGGGAGGAAGGAGCAAGGGGAAGGAGGTTGGTTGGATGGTTGGTTGAGTCAAGGCATAAAATTTCAGGTGACAAGAAGATCTCCAACAAACATTAGCATTTTTAATACTAAAATGTCACTTCCATTTTTTTAATAATATCAAACCAATTTAAAGTAAAATAAAACAAGGTCCCTGGAGAGAAAATGACCTTTTGATAATAGTAAGATATAGAAACAGAATGGTCCCAGGAACCAATGTCGCTTTTCATCTTTTCCCACTGCTGCCATTCAGTGAAAGAAAGACACAATTTACATCATCCTCAGGAAGACACTAATAGGAATAGCTGATCCTTACTAAGTAGTCCTTCACACTTTTAGGAAGTTTTATATGTAGTAATTGTTTTCATCTTCATGAGAATGATAATGGATAGAGACACTTCTCAGTAGGAGTGCACCAGTAAAGTTTCAGAGCTGTTGAAATACTGAAAGTTTTGGATCAGTGAATTGTAATTTAGTGTCCTCACCATTTTCTGCCTGCTCTCTTGCTGCCATAATGACTGCCACACCTCCTTCAGCCCTGGAAACCATGCCAACCTCTTCATTAGTAAGCATTTAGAATGCAACTGTCTGAGCTATCTAGTATAGGGATCCCCTTCCAATGAACTACCAGGATAACTGAGCAAAACTTTTTGCTCTCCCTGAAGAACCTCAAAAGACTGGGCTTGGCACAGGTGATGCCAGATGCCTGCATAAGCTTCAGCACCCAGATGGACAAAGTCTGGCTATGGCTTTCAAGACAGCAACTGCAGGACTGTGTTGAGTTGTTGGTGTTTAATCCCATCAGATCAGCCCAAAACCTATACCGACTGGGAGTAAAGGTCCTGGACCCTCCAGCTATTCACACAGCAGGGCAGTTGATACTGATGCTGAACCCTCTGCCTCTTCTAAAGATCAGTACTTGCTTGTGAATAAGGACTGGGGAGGACAGGAGTCTCTGCCCACCTCAGTATACCCAAACTTATATTACTGTAGGGCACCTCTTCCAAAGGACTGATTTTACTTAAGTATAGAGGAGTCACTTAGAATGTAAGAATAAGAGGAACTTATTCTCCCTGACGGGGAGCAGCTCCCCTCCCACCCACTATTTGCCTCTCTTCTCTGAAAGATTAGATCCATTACTTCCACATGACATTCCAGTAAACAACTGCAGTGACAGGAATGGAAATGTTGAATACAGAAAAATGTCACACAATAATTAACAGGCATAGAAATGTTTAATATAATAGCTGTTGGTTTAGCAAAAAAACTGAAAGAAAATGAACACTACCCTTGATATGAAGAGAAATTCCGTATTTGGTGAGATTACAAATCACTGAGTGCCTATCAATTTAAGAAGAGGCACGTTGGGAAAATAGGATGTAATTATCTATGAGAAATCACAACTGACTCATGGGATCATTTAGCTAGTGACAGCTCCACTCAAAGATTAAACCAATAATTACCAAAAATCAACAGTGAGATGGTCAACATGATCATTTGTACCACAACATAGACCATTTGGCAAGCAGATTTACAGCATCCTGAAGTTCAGTTCATTTATGAAATTAAAAAACCATCCTAAAAGAAAGCCCTAGCTTTATGGGAAATGTTTATGTGAATTTACCATTAGATATCATCACGATTTCCCTTCCTAAGAGTAAATAGGAAACTAGAAACGTGAAGGCACAGATAAACTGATTGGAATCGCGTTATAGGAGAAGCTGAGGAGCTTCCTGCAATCTTTGGTTGTATGATTTGAGATGTCACACACCTTTCTGCTTATAGTTCTTCTTAGGCCTAACATGAATTTATTCTGCAGCTTAAACATCATTGAAATTAAGTCAATAGTCAATAAATGTTTGCTGAATCAAATAGAACCCTAAACCTTATTTATTTGACAATTAAACCATGTGGTTACCACTTGTGGGAGGAGGAGGACCATCAGCTGTCTTCATCAATAAGAAAAACAGGAGCCATTACTATCAAATCAGTATTGTTCTCTAGCCCTCTTGCCCATGGACTTTCAATTTTCACACCATTTCTTCTGACTGTTACTGATTTCTCCTAAATTATGACTGAAATCAGATTCTTCACACTTTTTTCTTTAGATGATTATTCAGAGTTTCAGAATTTTTGGGCTGAAATTGGATTTTCACACTCTGTTCTTCTGACCATAATTCATGTACCTTATGTTGGTGAACTGGTATTAGATTTGAGATCCTTACATTGCATATGTGACTACTGATATATTGTTGTTGAGAAGGCCAACCAACACTTCTAAAACAATGACTTTTTATTGTCTATCATATTTTCTGAATTATTTATATATCACTTCAAGTAGGATGTAAGAAAAAAGTTATTACTTAGGAGTGTTAAAATATCAGTGATATATTATTTCAAGGTTCACATTCAGTATAGAAAAAATATATAATATAACTGTTCAGTTACTTTCAAACAGCCAATTCAGTTCAAAATACTATTCACTGAATGTTCCAAAAAAAAAAATCTTAGCAGTCATAATCCAATCCATATAGACTATGAATAAGAAACTTGATGTACAAATGCAGAACACATAAGGAGTCCAACAAATAGCAATTAAGAAACTGCCTGACAAAAGTAAGACTCAGTCATCAGCAAGTAGTCTTGAGTCTCCAGACTGATCAATTAGTAGCAAAAAAGTAGAGGCGGATTTGAGCCCAGGTCAGACTAAGTCTAACAAAAATCTTCTTTCACGTACATTGAGTGATCGACTTAAAAACCGTTAATGAAGTGAGTCATGGTCGCAAGCTTCATCTTCAGAAGCCCTCCATAAAACAAGCGTTCTGATTAATTTTGCAAGAAATAACCTTTTTATAAATGCATCCAGGCAGCACATACTCATTGATCACCTGGTCCGTCTATATCCTGGAACAATTATTTTGGGACAAATTCCATGGGAAATCCCTAAGGTTTACACTAATGGAGAGAAACACTGTCAGACAAGCCAATGGCAATGTGAATTAATTATGACACACAGCATGACCTGAATGAACAGGACAAGGCAGTAAGCAAAAATGGATAAGCTTCCTCTTCATAAGGTTCAACAATGAAGAGCTTTACAATGGGCTGGTGGGTTACCCCAAAATATTCATATGTTGATATTCTAAACCCAGAAATCATGGCCAGGATGGAAGACCTTTGCAACATACTTGGGTCAGGAGGATAGAGCCCTCATTAATAGAATTAATGCCTTATAAAAGGCCCTTATAAAAGAGTCCCTAGGGACCTTAGGGACCCTTTGCCTCCTTCCTCTCTGCAAGGATACAAAATGGAAGCAATCTGAAACCTACAAGAGTGTTCTTAGCAGCACCATACCATGCTGACACTCTGATCTTAGACTTCCCAGCCGCTACAGCTGTTTGTTTGTTTTAAATCTCTATTGATAATGAAATAGTCTATGGCATTTGGTTACAACAGCTACAGCTGACTAGGACAACCTCTGAGGACAGGATGGTTGAGCTGAAAAGTTAAGAAGAAGCTAAGAAATCTTAATATTGCCATGGAGTACATAAGTATCCAAGAATAGGGAATACCTGTTACATGTCTCTGGACCTGAATGTCCCTTTGGCAGCTGGAAAGGGCTGAGACATATGCATGGTCAGACTACAGAGGTCTTTCAAGCTCTGGATGCTATAGAAACGAGTAGAAAGGTCCTGGTCTGATTTTTAATCAAACAAAGAAAGAAACAAACCACACCCCTTAAATTGTGAGCAAGATGGAAGCAGCAGCTGGAAAACCATGGGAAAGCTACTGCAGTAGTGGTGGTGGGAAATAAGCATATCTTAGTCAAAGTTGCTGACAGCAGATATGCAGGTAAATGAATAAATTTGAAATACATTTGTAAATAAAACTGACTGAACTGGTAAAATACTTTCGAGGTTGAAAGTACTAGAAAGCAAGCATCAATATTACCCTCACCCAGTGTTCTCAATTGGACAGCTTATTTTATAAGACGAAAATAGATCTAGAAAAAAAAAGTTGTGTGGTCATAATAATTTAGGTTTTGATCTACTATATTTCAGATGACCATGATATGTTAAATGGACTTGTCAAATAGAATTTCAAAAATATAAACTGGAAATAAATGGAAAGGCGGGAGTTGTCAGCTCTTTTTCTGTACAATTTTATTTATTTATTTATTTATTTGTTTGTTTGTTTGTTTATTTATTATTACAATTTATTCACTTTGTGTCCCGGCTGTGGCCTCCTCCCTCGTCTCCTCCCAGTCCCACCCTCCCTCTGTCTTCTCCCCCTATTCCCTCCCCTAATCCACTGATAGGGAGGACCTCCTCCCCTTCTATCTGACCCTAGTCTATCAGGTCTCATCAAGGTTGGCTGTATCATCCTCTGTGTCCTGGCAAAGCTACACCCCTCAAGGAGAGGTGATCAAAGAGACAGCCACTGATCCCCTTACTGGAGTAACTATTTCAAAATTGAGCAGCCTATGGGCTTCCTCTGAGCAGGGGGTTTAGGTCCTCTCCATGCATGGTACTTGGATGGAGTATCAATCTCTGCAGGGCCTCCTGGGCCCAGGTTTTTTTTTTTCCTCTGTTGGTCTCCTTGTGGAGTTCCTGTCCCCTCCAGGTCTCTCTATCTCTCCCTCCTTCCAGAAGATTTCCTGCACTATGCCCAAAGTTTGGTTATGAGTCTCCGCATCTGCTTCAATACCCTGGTACGTAGAGTTTTTCAGAGTCCTCTGTTGAAGGTTCCTGTCCTGTTGCCTAACTTCCTGTTTGCATTTCTGAATGAGGAGTGAGCATCTTCTGTGGGTCCTCCTTATTGTTTAACTTCTTTAGGACTATAGATTTTAGTATGTTTATCCAGTATTATATGTTTAATATCCACTTATAAGTGAGTATATACCATGTGTGTCTTTCTGTTTCTGGGTTACCACACTCAGGATGATCTTTTCTAGTTCCATCCATTTGCCTGCAAATGTCATGATTTTCTTGTTTTTAATTGCTGAGTAGTATTCCATTGTGTAAATGTACCACAATTTCTGTATCCATTCCTCCGTTAAGGGACATCTAGGTTGTTTCCAGATTCTGGCTATTATGAACAAAGCTGCTATGAACATGGTCAGATCTTTTAATGTAGTGGGCAGAGGCCAGATAATACAGACAAGACCTAAGCCCACAGGGTTCTGCATAGATGCAGAGGGCAGGGGAGGGGCATGAAAGCAGGCAGGGATGGCCAAGGAAAGGGGAAAGTCCAAAAGAGATGAAAGAGTGCTGCTGATGTCTAGAGAGGAGGTCCTCAAGAATGGACTCTGTGAATGTTCTGGGCATTTATGTGAGATTGGATAAAAAATAGAAAAATACCACTGGAGTTTATATGGTTATTAGCAACACTGACAGACACATTTTCAGAAAACAGACTGAATAGAGACTAAACAATAGCAGGTAAATGTGCTAGAAGATGACATACTAATAATAATCCACCCAGATAACAGTTTCTGGAAGTTTGGCCGAGGGCACAGAGCTGAGTATCTCAGGGGCAGCTAGCACACAGTTGATAGCTAAGAAATGCTAATGCTTTTCTTTCAACTGGAAATGATGACAAGATGCTTTTGCTGATGGAAATACTCTAGACAGGGCAGGTAGAGGTTGAGAGGCAGAAAAGGACTACAGGCTTTCATTGAAGGTCCAGTTTTAGAGAAAAGAACCAATGAAAATGAAACCAATGAAACCAAATGAAAATGTTCCTTGAGACTTGAAATAGAGACATTTTACATACAGTTATAACTGAGAAAGAGGCAGAGAAAAAGTCACGGAGAGACAGAGCGAAGGGCAGGAAACGAATGATAGCCATATTCATTCCTTGGTCAGCACTTTAGTACCTCCAACTCAACACAACTTGTCTCTTTGACTTTCCTGAGGAAATCATCTTCATTTGAGCTGCCACTGAGGGACCTTCCAGTCAGCATGGCAGCTCGGCAGGCAAGCCCCAAAGGCAGAACAACACCACCATTTTTCTACATGCCCCCACCCACTGTTGCTGTATTGGACAAACACTGGGAGAAAACAACTGATGACTGGGTTAAACATCCCTCTCCCCCACCACTACCTTTCCCAGCTCCCCAGCTCCCCTCTCACCCTGCTGTTTCTCAACCCTCTTATTTTCACTATAATGAAACACTACTATTTTTCCCCTTTTAGTTTTTGAGACATCTTCTCACGTATTGTCCGGAGTAGCCTCAAAGTCCTCGAGTGAAGGGACCCTCCAGTCTCAGTCCCTGATACCAGGAGTGGTCACCACCTGTCTGGCCTCTACGGACGGGGTCTTTCTTTCTTCATTGTGTTTCAAACTGTTATGATCTTCTCTTTAGTCACACATTTTCTACCCTTCCTCTGTGCATTTTTCTAGTCTCGTAGTACTAACTGGTCTCTACATGTCATGACCATTCACAAATATCTTAGCACTATTTCTTGCAAGGTCCAAACTCACATTGTCACTACAGATATCTACCAGGCAAATTCATCTGAGGGCAAAGGGGAGCCCTCAAACTCATCACCTCACAAATGCATCCTCAAATCAGGCGCACCCTCAAATCATCTTCTTACCAAATGTAATAATGTTGTTCAACTGAAGTTTGATTTATTGCAAGGATAACCCCCCCAAATCCACACTTTATTCATTCCTGCCAATTTACCACCTCTAAACTCATCCCATCTGGCCATGTTTCTCTTAGCTCAAGTGAAATTATTTCCTAACCAGTCTATAGTAAGAGCTGCTCAAGTTCTCTAGGACCCCAATAGTATTAGCCCAGAACTACATGATGCCCCCTCCCCACTGCAGTCAGCATAATATATTCTACTTAAATAGTGCAATGTCCACTTCCAAATCCATGATGACTTCTAGCCTGGCTTCCAAGGACTGTCACTGTCTAGCTCTTACTCATCAACCAAGTAACACATCTTCCCATGCTTGTGTGCTGCTGTCATTTCTGCCTAGAAGGCTGTCACCTTGTATCTATCACATCTCACCCCTTGCCCTAGATAGGTCCTGAAAGATTCATTCAGTGCCCACGTCTTTCAGGAAGATCTTCATCTGGACAAGTTGTTCTCTCTCTCTCTCTCTCTCTCTCTCTCTCTCTCTCTCTCTCAGGGGTGATTTGAGGAGTATGTTAGCTGGGTTCCAAGGGGTAAATCTTCAAGGGAAACTGAAACTTGTCTCAGTAGGAATGTAAATAAAGTGGAGGAAGCATGCTAACCAAGAAGTCTTAGTCATAAAGAGGAAATACAAGCTGACAGTGCCTGGGAAGCAGTGGGCTGTACTGAGCACACTACACTTTCTTCTAAGGAGGGTGGATTCTGCAACTTGAAAGCCTTTGCTTTGTGAACTAGAGAATTCCATTTGGGGCCTGGTTCTAGACCATCTAGAACAATACAGAGAGAGGGGCAGATCCTTCCCCCTTTCTCTGAACTGTAGTAGCTGTCTCCTCCACAAAAAAGCAGAAACATTCCTATCTCCGTGCTGGCTCCTCCTCTCCCTCATACTTCCATCACCAAACAGACTGTTCTCCATTCCAATCTGTCTTCACAAAATGGCTATCAGGTGATGTTCTGAGTTCTGAACCTAACTTACTCCTACGATGGATCTGTGCATTACTTCACAGATGAAAATAGTAGTAGAGGCAGAATAGCTAAAATCCCCTGGGTCTCACATCACTGAAGCTGGCTCTGAAATTAGCAGCCCAACTCCAGCAAGGATAACTGGTAACTGTGCTGCCCTTTACCCCCACAATAGCTTAAACCCACTCCAGAAGAGAAGTTGGCCAAAAGACAAAGATTCTGTTTTCTTACCTCTCGAGTTCCACCATTCCCCCATCCCCACTTTTCTGCTTCATTCATTAAGCCTGTGGCTCCCAAACACACTGTTGGCAGGATAAAGTGCAGTGCGGTGTGCTGAAGGGACTTGGACATTCTTTGTATTTATTGTATAGTAAGAAGAAACTGCTGTATAATGAAGGGTGACAGAACCCATTTGTCAATCCTACATAAATCCCTGGAGGTTTAATTGCACCTATGAGAGTTCAGGGTAATCTCTCAAGCAGCTCACAAAACTCACTTCTCTTGGTGATCTGGAGCCTCCTTCCCGGAATGTTGGTTTACATCTGAAATTAATCTGCCATTTGAAAAAAAAAAAAAAGTATGTTATGTTAATGATGAACATCAAGTTGAATAGAATTACCTGAAACCAAAAAACAAACAAACAAACAATAGTGGTAAACATTAACACTATAAAACAAAACCCACAAGGAATAAGGAATCTATTTCACTCTCTCCCTAGCCTCCTTACAGTGGTGCTGAGCCATCTCACACCTCCAGCCCGCGTTCTCATTGATGGACTCTAACTTTAAACAAAAATGCTGCTGGCCTGTGAGCCTGAGAAAGCACGGAGAGAGGCAGAGGCAGAACACGCAGCAGCTGAACCTATCCAGTTGACTTAGATTTTGAGAAGTAGAAAACATAAAGCTGACAAGTTCTAACTGCTGCAATAACCATTCAAACACAAATGCACAGGTATTCCCTGTAAATGGACTCGACACTGCCCTCCACAGTGGGCAGTCGTGTCCTTGTGGCCACTCTGGCTCCTGTACATACTGCAGTGGAGTGGGAATGAGAAAGAATATGTTTAAAGTGTTGGGCATGGCAGTAAGACATATGTTGGCAGCAGCTGGGGGTGCTGGTGATGCTAAGCAAACGTGCAGAGCTAAAACAGCCCCGTATTTACCAGGGCAGCATGGGCACACGGGTAACATGAAGAGGCCTCGCCTGGACACAGAGCAAGCTTTAAAAATTAGCGCGGCAAGCCGCTCTCTATTGCAGATCTTCCATTCCCCCGATGATAAAGGAATAGACTATTCAGAACCCACTTCTGGAGACAAGACTTCGCCTTCGGATGCCACTCCCAGCTCGCTAGCGCCTGCTGCACCAGCAAAAACGCAGCTGGTGAGGTCTGCGGCGGAGTCTGGGAGGTGCCTTCAGCAGGCTTGGCTCTCTTCCTTAGAGCTACTTTAGGAAGATGTGAACTCACAAAGAGAAACATATGGAAGCTACGATCTTAAAAAACCGTATTGCATTTTTTTTTCTTCCTTTAAAGGAAACATCTTGTGGAAGAAGAGAAAACTCACGCATGCCAAGCTTGCCCAGCAGTCAAGACGATATAATATCAAATTAAACTGAGCGACGCAGTAGGAAGAATGGCCTTTATGTATTTTATTGTCATTGTTACTCTGGTAATCATATTGAACTCACAATTTTTGTTTTTGCTGTTTTTAGGGGTGTTGTTTTCAAAAAATTAGAAATTGACACCAGATCTTGGCAAGTGGCTGCAGTGAATATACTTCTCAGCAGGTGGCGCTCTTACCTTCTCGAGTTGCTCAATGCAGGCTGTGTGCACCACGATTTTGCAGACCGCACACTTCCTCCTGAGAGCGGATTTCTACAACATTAAAGTCAAAATACAGGAAGAAAAATGTTAGCAAGCTGTGCTAGAGACTTCCCTGGTATGAAACAGAGACTCCATAAATTATGCAAAATTGTAATTACTTTTGTTACTGCACAATTTGAAAACCCCTAAACATGTCAGGGTAACTACCCATCTGCCTACCGGCAGTGACCTAGATGGCTTCTTCCAAAAATGAAAACAGTAATACCTGTTACAACCAGGGCTTATAGTACAAACCAAGCTCTTTATTCTGTTACATCAGTTTTAAGCGTTACTTGAACGATGAAGTTTTCAAACTTTTTCACACTTCCTTAATGATGGAACACGTTATCCTGCACACACTGACTGCAGACCTGCTGAAGTCTTAAGACCTGACTCCACCTGCCCTTGCCCATCTCCGTCACGAGTGGAGAGGGCAGCTGAGAGGCCTGCATGACAGCTCTTTTCCTGCATCAGCAGGAATTGGGGGCCATGGGTCGCCAGCCTCCTCTGGTCATTCCCAAGACACCTGATCATATACAATGTGGGGAATAGCTACTTCTGCTGATCTTTGCTTGGGAGCTGTGAGGAGGCTTTGGTGAGAAAGAGGTGATTGGCCTGAGAAAGAGCTCCAGACAGGAACCCACAGTGCTAGGAGCTTGGCAAGGTATTTAGGACACTATCAAGATCTACTGGGCCTGGCCCAAGAAAGAGAGTGATAAGGAGGCTGCTGGTAGGGGTAGGGGTGGGAGTAGGGGTACGGATGTGCCAGAGAAGATTTACCTCCAAGATACTGAGTCCCCATGAATCAGTTCCTCAGCCCCTTGGCCTTCCTGGACCAGAAATTGAGAACTGGAAACCAAACAAAAGATACAGCATTCCAGCCAAGTGGTGAAAGCGGTTCCCACACCCCAAGCCACAGACCACAAAGCCTAGCAGTGGCAGCACTGGTGGCAGGGCAGAGAGAAGAACTCACACTCCCATGAGGCTGGTGTAATCCTCTTTTTGTCTCTGGGCCAGAGGCTAAAGGAGGCTTAATAAAGCCTTTAGAATGCCAGGAAGATATTATCCTTTAAGAGAAAACTGCATCTCTGTGCAACGTAAACAAAATTTTGTTGCTGTATAATTCAAGGTACAAGAAAACAAGAGTTCTTTGATTTATTTTAATTTCTGATTAGAAAAAATGACAAGCATACTTGGCAAGTCCTGCTTCTCTGGGGAACCTGGGATGCAATCTGTAAATTGGCATTGGAAAAAATGAACACTGACATTATCTGAAAGTCCCATTTATGTGACTTCATAGCCCAAGCTAAATCTCCATCATCATTCTTGGTGTCTCTTCTTTTCTACTCACACAATACAGAACTTTTTAGAAAAGCCAGGAGGGCGGTCAGCTGGAATTCCAGCATACTGCCATGACAAGAGCTCATGCTATCACCAAGTCTTTGTGTGACTCATGACCTTAGACAAAGGAGCACATTTCCTCAGGAGTCTGTGACTCATATAGCAACTCAGAGGTTGCCCTAGAATTTTTGCTGTAGGACGTTGGCTCTAAGTTACAAGTTGCCAGCAGTCATCCTGAGTCACGCTGGCCATGCTAAAGAGGACACCTTCATCCATCATTACTGTGGGTAGCAACGAACTGAGGAGTATCCTCTGGGAAGAGCCCATGAGGGTAATGTCCCTCAGAGACAGCTCTAGCAAATACCACAGTCATTAAATAATACCCAGAATTCCTCAGAATATCTGAGAGAAAGGGAAGCGGGGACAACTGGATAGTCAGTGGAGAATTAGAGGGGTGCACCGAATCCCTCAGACCATGTTCATTAAATAACAATGCACCTGAGTTCCCCTGTGCCATGGCGCTCGGATGTGTCCCTACAGAAGTAAATTCCCCATGTGGCTGTAACAACATGTTGAGTACTGGTTTTTGCAAAGAGAGTACTGGTTTTTGCATACATCATCATGTATGCACCACAGGGAAGGGGTCATGGAAACCACAAAGAGAAAGAAACCTCCATCATCTGAGAAAAGTACACTGTTCAAGACAAGATGAACTTGAGAAATACTGCCATCTAACAGGGCAGAGCCATGCTATGTCTATATTAAAGGAATGGTTCAGATAAGAAAAGATGTTACATAGAAGAGGAGGGAGCTCAGAGGCTGATCTAAAGGACTCGGTGGAATCTTGATTTAAGCCTTAAAAGATAGACATTTGGAAACTCCAATACATTCCAGTAGGGGAAGACATCAAATCCTGTTTAGGAGCAACTACTGGCTCCTAACAGGAGAAGAGGCCAATTCTGGTGTGTCTGCTGGGCACAGAATTGCTGGGCTCACAGGGGCCTATTTCCATGTGTTACCAGACACAATGTTTGGAGGCTGGGTGTGAACTCAGTAAAGCAGCCCACGTGGGTGGCGAGCATGTGAGAAGCAAAGCTCAGAGGCATGAGGACAGAGGCACATTTGAAGAGTAGCCAGGGTGCCAGACAAGATTTCTTTTGAATCATGATTTCAGATTTCTCAGTCCTCAGGCCTTTGGCCCTGCTTCTTTGGGCCATGGTGTATCATAACCATGCATGTGTGGTGATGGTGGCTGCTGGGAAACAGAAGAAGACATGAGGAACCAGGACTCTTCAAAGGCAAGTCCCCAGGAACTCATCCTCCTTCCATTAGAACCATCTCCAGAAGGCTGTACCACCTCCCCACAGAGGCATGTGCTGAGAGTCCAAATCTTTAACATGAGATTTTTTTTTGGGGGGGGGGGGGTTGTATCCAAACATAGTAGTGACTGAGAACAATAGCTCTTTCTAGTCTACCACAAGTCTCTGCCAAGGTCGGCACTCACCTCCCACATTTTCACCCTCTTTGCAATAGAACAATCTGTAGTCTGAGATGGCGTCATCCCATGCCCTGGTCAACTTCACTCTGAAGTACACCTGGCTGACTGCACATCTTGTGGTTTCCTTCTGGGCTGTGGCTGAATTGCCTTGGAGTATTATGATAAAATCCATTTAATATGCACTTCTAGCACTGTGTTTCATTCCTAGGAACATCAGCCAAGCACTCTGTTTGTGAAGTGTCTGTGTTCCCAGAGGCGCTTCTGCTGAGTAGCCTCAGGTCTGCTCAGAAATCTTGAGCTGAGCCAGGACCCCTCCCTGAGCTGATGCCCAGAAAGGCAAGCTTGCACAGCTGCCTAAGCGACACAAAGGAATAAAGAAGAACAGCACCTTCTCAACATTGTGTGGACACAAACTAAAAGTGCATCGTTCCTGCAGCAGCATAGTTCTCATCTGAAAATAAAACCACCCAGATCTTAGAAGACAAAGCAAAGGGAGGCAGTGGATTTTGTGAGCCAGCTGACGGCAAGGATAGAAAGGGGTTACTTTTCCTTCCCTTGAGAAGTGACCAACCTGGACTTACCAGCAAAGCAATTTGGTAAGGACCAGATTCCTAGAACCGTGTTGATTGAAAGCTGATGGCTGGTTAGCAATAGTACCCAGTCCTGTCTCCAGCACTCGGTATCAAAGAAAGCTACCAGGACAGTGGAGGTATGGAGAAACAGGAACGTGTATCTCAACAACCTGCTTTTATATTACAAATCTCACTCTTCGAAAAATAATTAGGGAGTGATTTTTTAAATTTATTTTTATTTTATCTGTATCGGTGTTTTGCCTGCATGTATGTCTGTGTGAGGGTGACAGATCCCCTGAAACTGTTACAGACAGTTGTCACCTGCCACATGGGTGCTGGAGATTGAACCCAGCTCCACCCAGCTCCTCTGGAAGAGCAGCCAATGCTCTTAACCACTGAGCCATCTTTCCAATGATTGATGTTGGTATGTTTAATATTTTTTAATGTTAAAAGGATGGTAAGTACATTCACACACTGCAGAATATTTGGCCAGTAACAGCCCTCATATATACACCATGTGTTGTAGTATAATGTGTACATTATACCGATACCTGTAGACCTGTAGCCTATACCATGTTTGGATAAGCACATTCTTTGATGTTTATGCAATGATGAACTTACTTAATGATTCATTTCTTTCCAGAGCATATCCCCGTCATTAAACAGTACAAGACTGTAGTCCAGGGATTCCCTGGTAGACTTTAATAAAAAGCTACCACATGAATCCCCGGTCTTTACCCCTACCTAAAATTCAGGTCCAGTTATTGAGACATGGAACAAGTAGTGACTTTTGAGTGTTGCTTATGAGAAGTGTGGAGAATGGCCCTGTAACTGTGCGTGAGTTGTCACAGGGGAATAAAGTGGTATCGACACACAGACATGAGAGATAGAGGTGGAGATGGTACACTGTTGCTTTCTGTTCCCCTCCACTGACTGGTCCTAAGTTGCTGTCCTTCTTAGGTAGTCCTTCTCCTTCCTCTCACACAGTTATTCCATAAGGGAAAGGATTTCAGCCCAATGAACTCAAAGAAATTCCTGAAGAGTTGTAGTCCTCTTCCTACCTCTCCTCTTACCCAAGAATATCTCATAGTTTTATGACCACTGTTACTGGCTATCTCTGGATGTTGTTGCTTTCTGATATTGTTTTCCCCCTACAGCCTGGAATCTGTTTGCCTTTTCTTTCTTCTTCATATTTGCTTCTCTATGTTTCATGAAAGGTCTTGTTTTATGCAGTCACCAAATACAAACTTTAATCATAGGCAAACTTTTGCTGTGTCTTTGGCTCTGTCACCATTGCTTTTGTGGGTTCTCTATGTTAGAGTTATATGTTCTGTTGAAAGCTTGATTTGTACTACGGAACAAAGCTGCTATATGGCTCAGAGGGAGTTGAATGAATTGATGATGCATGTATATATATTATTACAATATGCAGACACCAATAAATAGGGCTTAAAGAGGCCCACAACACACACATACACACTCAAACACACACATTTATTTAAGCACAGAGATATAATTGATAATGGCTGCATGTATTGCAAAAGTCATAAGGTATAGAAATTAATAGGAAATGGTGTTCTGAGATCATCTCAATGGTTTTC